ATGACTTTCCAGTGGACGGCGGTCGCCACCTTTCTGTATGGTGAAATAGGAGTGATCCTTGTGCTCTGCCTGCCGTTTATTTCTCCGCTGAGGTACGACTTCAGTCTGCTGGGCAGCCCCGGCTCGGCCTTCTCACCGGTTTGGGTTTATTTTACGTTTTTGTTGTTATGCACCGAGCAGTGCTGCATCTTAAACTAGCAGCGAACTAGGCTGAAGGAATATTGTTCGGGACTTAAGCGTCAGGAGTTTCAAGAATCATAAGCCTCTTTTAAGGAGCTTTACGTTTGCTTTACACACACTGCTGATTCATGCGAGCAGCAGTCGGGGTTCCCAGGACGAGCCCCAATTGCTTTGCTTCAGCAGGTGGGATGTCGTCTCCCGGTCTTCTCTGGGGGGTTTTTGGGGAGTAGCCAGAGTACAGGAGGGCGTCTGGCTTCCCCTGCTGTGTGCTCAGTTAGAAACGAGAGGACCGTACGGCCTTTTCAGGAGTTGTTTGTCAAGTTTGTGAGGAGCAGCTTTACATCGGTCGCTAGCCGCATAGAGGATGTGTCAGGGAAATTTGTGATCGTTCATTTAAAAAAAATGTGGACTTCAGCCTGATGCAAAAGGTTGAGAAAACTGAAATAAAGGCCTCTCTAAACTTATATATAGATTAACAAAATAACAATACTTCTGGAACAGGACACAAACATTAAGAAAAAAATAATTTATTCCTGTAAAATAAATGCCCTTAGAGAAAGAAAAAAAAATATGTGTTCATTACTCTTATTGTATGCAGAGGCCTGGCTTACAGGTTGTCCTAAGATTATTGAATCTGAAGAGCCTTACAGGAAACAATGTTATTTTTTCTTTATAGGAAGCAAAGAAAGCTAGCTTCTCTACAAGAGGCTGTCTCAGTCTTGTGTAAAAACTGTTACATGTTTGTTTTCTGTATCTTTAGATATATTTAGGATGAAGAATGCAGCTTTTACTTAAGGAACAAAATCTAAAACAGAAAACGCTGCAGTGTGGAGAGTGTGTATTTAACTACTTAAACCCATGGGAGAGTGTTGAAAATGGCTGGGTCCTTCACAATGATTAGTCATGTCTTCTCAACTTCAGAAGTTGAAACTGTTCTAAAATTAATTTAACTTCTGATTTTTATAAGCTGGCTTGTGAAGAGTCCAGCATTTCAACACAGATTATTGAGGTTTTGCATTTTCTGTTGTTTTCTAATCAAAAGTGCAAATATATGTAAGAAGGAAGAATTATTATGGGAGTTGTAATCATCAGATTATTAATGGCTTATGTGAGGAAACTAGCTGCCAGAATTTCTGCAGGCTGATGACACATGCATGGTACATGGGAGTATTGAAATAGGTTTCACTTACAACATTAATAGGGCTTGAATCCAGTCTTTGTGGCTGAAAAACAAATTCATAACCTGCAGTATTACCAAAATGTATTCAAACATTTAACACAGTGCTTTTAATTGTGTACAAAGGATGCATTTTTGCTCTTAGTTTGTAGCATTCAGCTATTTCTTTGAACAGTGGTTTCTAAAAGAGTGAAATAGCTTTATCCTTTATGTGACATGTTCAGTTATCACATTAACAAAACTGTCACAGGAATCTTATGGGGTTAAAGATTAGATTTAGCTGCTGTGACAGTACTGGAGGGCAGCAGTTCTGCCTTGCGCATCTTGGTGGCCTGGGAGCTGGTTCTGTCAGGGAGGTAAAGCATGCGCGATGAAAGACGGACATGAAACTGCTGTTCTTTAAAGTTTTGATCTACTCGCTTCTCAGTCTTCTAACAGATAGCATCTTTTGTGCCTGCACATTTTTTGGGTAATTAACTCCTTTTCAAATCTGCTAACAAGCTCTTAAGGTCCCAGGGAATAAGTAAATTGACAAGGTAAAAATGGAAGTATGCAAAAAAGACAGATCTGGACTGCCAAGCGCGGTATATCTATAGTGGTGGTCTGTGTTACAATTTGGAAGGATCATATGTATGTGACTTCAGTCACCAAAAGGAAATGCAGCATTAATAAATGGGAACGTTGATACTTGTTGAGGGAGAATAAGCATGCAAATATAACGTAGGAAGACTTTGCAGTAAAGAGATCTTTTTTAGCGTGAATATAACTTGGCAGTATAGTTGGTCTAAAGTCAAAGACCAACTTCAAAGAATCACTTAAGTGGCTATCAATATGAAACTTGGAGAATCACATGTTTAAAGAGTTAGCAAGTTAGCTTCGTTTGAGTTGTTTGGTTTAATTAAAATAAGCTTTTTGGTTGATAACAGATTATGGTTATCTGCTATAAAGAACTCAGATTATACTAAACGATTTAAATGAGGTTTGTGCAGGTACAATGCTAAAATATTTTAATTCTTGCTGGTGCAGAACCAGAAGGAACCATTAGAGATGATGCTACAGTCTAATTTAAATTAGGTTCATAGTAGTTTGGAAACTACTTTGTTGAAGGACAAATTTTAACAGTTTCTGGAAAATGTAAATACTCTTCATAAAAGTTGGAAATTGTACCTGTTAGAATCAGATGGTGATAAGTATATGTTGTGGTTTGGCCTCAGCTAGCAACAAAGAACCACGCAGCCACTCGCTCCACTCCCACAGCCATGGGAAAAATCAACAGAAAAAGGTAAACTCCTGGGTTGAAATAGTACAATTTAACAGAACAGCAAAAGGGAAAAGGAAGATAGGAAAAAAAAAAAAAACACCAAACAAAGCAATAACACTGATAAAAGGATATAAAGAGGCGATTACAGTACCGCAGTGCACCAACCACAGCCAGACTGCCACAGCCCACCCTAGAGTAGCAACTGCTTCCCCTCCCTGGCTAGCTTCTCTTATAGCCCGGGCATGGCTCACGTGGGATGGAATACCTGCCCCCTGCCGGCTCCTTGGGGAAATTAACCCCATCCCTGCCGCAACCAGGACAGTATGCCTGTGTTACATCCTTAATGGCGTAACTAGGTATTACTTCATTTTTGCAGTAGCACTGATCCTAACCTGCAGCAAAGGACAGGTAACTGCTCTGTTGTTGTGTCTTGTGGATTTCAGTTCATTTGAGCACATCAGATGTTCATTTGTACTGCAAGTACAATTGCAGTTCTTGCAGAGCCCTTGATGCAGTAATATCAAATAGGCAACTGATTGCTTAAAAAAAAAAAAAGAAATGATAGTCTTCACCACCATTGGGCCTCGGAAGTTGCTTCCTTAGCCAGCAAATTTATGCTTTTGAAAGAGGTTTTAACACTTGACAAAATATAAGCATGAGACTTGTCCTTTTATTGTCATTTGCAAGTTAGAATGTAATAACAATCCTTGTACTTTATGCAGATTCATCAGTGTAAAAGATAAGCCTTCTGAAGATGGAGCATAGAGACAATCTTAGTTGGTGGAGGGTTTTTATTTTATTTGGCAACAAGGAGTATAAGTGGGTAGAAATAAAAATGATGGAACGGATGTTACATATTAAAGGAGAAGCTGCTGCTTGAGCATTCACACAGCATTGAAAGAGTTGCACACACACCACGCGAGTCCACTGCTCGGGCCAGGATCCCTTTGCAGTGGGCAACTCCAGCGAGCCGACAGGTGCCCCTTTCGACTCCTCACACACACGCATACGCTTACTCTTAGGCACATTTCTTCCTTCTTTAAGCTTGACCCTAGGTTTCCCACAGCAGAGTCTCGGGCATCAGGTTTTGTAAAAATAAATAATTTAATTGAAGGGTACAGCAGCAGCAGCAGCCCAGGCTGGGTGCCTCTGGAGAGGAACGTTGAACAAAGAAATCCCTGGGCAATTATACCCTTGTGATCTATACACGTGCTGTTTACGTGTCATTTAGTCCAATGGTGATTTTTGGTCTTCTAACCAAAGTAACTTCTTTGGTGAAGTTACACCATAAGTGTTATCTTCTAACACCTTATTGGATTCTTCTTCTGTGTCCAGGCAGGCAGGCTGTTGACTGCTGTTTTCTTGTTGATTTGCAGTCTCTGCTGACAGTTGTAGCCTCCTTATCTTCTGGTTTATGCTGCTTGTGCACCTGCGCTCGCTGGCAGAATGTGGGGAACTGAAAAGTCCCAGACTTAGGGAAAAACACTACCAAAACATCAGTGTGTTATTGACATTTTCCTCATACTAAAAGACCAAACACAGCACTGTAGCAGATGCTAAGAAAATTACTAAGAAAATTAACTCTATTGAGGCCTAAAGGCTTTAGCAAATCTAGCTAGTCGTGGCAAGTAAAGCTACTCAACCAGCGTAAATCACACCATGTTATAACCCTAAGTAATTTATTCTAATTAAAACTTCCTTATTTAAGATAAACAAATAATATCTCTCAACATACAGTCTTTACCCCATCCCTGAGTTTATTGTAGTCCGGACCAAACACAGAGTAATGCTAGCCAAACAAAAGCTAAAATAAAACTTCTGCTATCATACAAGAAGTTTTCAAGTTGAACCAACTGTATTGCCTGTATTGACAAGAAACAAAACAGAGACAAGCAAGTTGGATTATTGGAAAAGTTACATATACCTAAATTATACTGCAATTAAAGCAGCTGTTTAGAGACCTTGCATAAGTCTCATATCAATAACAAGGCTCTCTTCTGTGAGGTTATTATGCTGGTCTTTTGGTGTTTAATTATTTTTGAATAACACAATGCTATTTTACAGATGGCAGAAGATTTTTATGATTCCTCTGTGGAGCAAAATGGCAGTTTTTTGGAACAAGATGTTCCTTACAATAATAGTTTTACTGATCGTCTTGTTTCTTGGTAAGTGTTAAATAATTTCTTAGCAAATGGGGGGAAAAATGTGGTATGTGAAATTCATGGCAGTAGATTAATTGAAAGGATTCAAGCCTAATGTAAATCAGCTAATTTGTTTAAAAGTTCTGCAATAGAATGGAAGAGGAGAGGGCTTATACCGCATCCATGTTGGGAATCCAAATACAATAGTAATATAGTAGTGAATGAGGAGGAAAAACAGAGCTTGGTCTAGGCGACTGCTTGGTTTCACTTTCTCACACAAGTAAATGAACTTGAAATGTTTGATACCAGAATTTGGCTGAGCTGCTCAATATGCAGTAGGTGGCACTCTTTCTCTTGGTTGCTGTTGAAATAGAAGACCAGAAGAATATGTCAAAGCACCAGGCTATTTGGGTACTTTTGCTCAGCACAGATACATAACAGCTGTTGGCTATATTTGGTATGAGTAGATTCTAAAGTCTGTCAAGTAGGAATAAAGCTTTTGTGAAACTGGAGCTTGAATGACGACCCTATTGCCTGACTGAGTTAATTTAATGTCTGTCCTGACTGCTTTGTGTGGTAAGCATCTCCAGTATTTCAGTGATGGAAACCGTTCTCCTGTGTTTCAGTGACAGAAGTAGTTCTCTTCCATGGATTGGAGAGAAGTATTTCCAGCATCTTACAATGAAAATGCTATTTAATTTCAAACTACTTTAAATACAAAGAAAAAATGCTTGGTTTTATTGTTTGCTGAGAGAAAGATACAGATGCACTGCATATGTAACAAGTCAGACTAGACCGCGATACTATATTCCTGATACAAAAAAAAAAGTACTGGAAATGTAAATAAAGATTATTTTTTATTATTATTATTTTAGATGGTCTTTAGTATTATCCTTAGAAGTAGATTGGCTTAAGTAAATGGCTTAAGATTGAGAACTGTTGGATTTTATTTACTCTTCTTGAACTCCTGTCAAAAACTTTGAGCAAAGTTTGCTTTTGAGTTGGTTATTGTCATTGATTTTGCAGAAAGATAGATTTGGGCTAAAGTAAAGCAGTGGTGAGATTCTTGCCCCATAGCATAAGATGATGGGTTGCTACAGGACTAGAATCTTCCCATAGCACAGGGATATGGACTTTTGTTTGGTCTTAGTCTTCCTTGCATTGTTTGAAGTTTCACTTCAAATATTTTCTTTTTTTTTTCTTTCTAAATAAGTTATGGACCTAAAAGAGACAGTCATAAGGGATGTTACTGTCATGAGTTGGTTATTGTTACTGTCTTCAGAGTTTATTTTTTTCTGCTTAGAGAAATGCAGCAGCAATTTAATAACACATGGCCAAAATATTCTGCAAGAACTGATGATGTGTCGTGAAATGTGTATTTTTGTTGATATGCAGGAGGAGATTTTAGGTACTCTATTGACCTTAAATATCTATGATGACCTTAAGTTTACAGATTGTAAGATGAACTCTTAACTGGGTTAGCTTTTGTTTTTATATAGACATAAGTCCTAATTATTTTGTCCTTTGAAAAACGTTGGTAGTGTATTGGCCCTTCTGCAGCACTATCAGGAGTATATGATGGATGAAAGGAAGCTGAAAGGTGGATGGGATGAAAGGCAGATGAAAGAAAGCTGAGGTGTAGCTTACCTGCTCTGTTTACATTCAACACTGTGTTACTACAGTATTCCTGTTTTGATGGGTATTATAGAAATAATTTTTCCCTCTCTGATTCAAGCATAAAGTAGATATTTGTCATTACTAATATGCATGCTTATCTGACAAATTCCATGTGAAGCAAATACTGCAGAAGACATCTCTTCTTTTTCCCTTCTGTTTCTGTTTTCTCACCGTTTGTCCAGTGGCTGGATTTTAATTCAGTTGCCAGTAGTGACATTTTGACACTGTCTGTAGGGTCTCTGGTACTTGTAGAATGTGTTGCTTTAGCCTGATCACTGGTGGCTGTGTGCAAGGGTTGGAAATGACTGTTCAAGCATGTTTTGGGCAATGGTTTAGCATATCTCTGGAAATATGTTATATCGCTTCAGTGAGTTATCAAGACCTATCTTTAAAATGTATGGATAATGTAAGTGATGTCACTATTTGTCCTATGCCTATTTACTGAGCAGAAAGTCCAAATACATATTTCTAGTACTATGTCTGGTTTATCATACGTGCATACCCACAGATGTGAATAAGAACAAACTGTTTTTGTTTGCAGATGCTATTAGAGAAGTTAGGAAGTACTCAGCCGTTCATGTGACTGAAAAAGCTGCAAATGTCAATACCAATGCCTTTGATCATATTCAGATGAAACTCTTCCGATCGCAAAGAAATCTCTATATCTCAGGTTTTTCCTTATTTCTTTGGCTGTAAGTATAACAGTTTTCTAATTTCTACATAGTGTGTTTCTTACAGGAACTATCACACAAAATAATGCAACTATAAAAAAAAATCAGAAGGCCAATTTCAAGAGTTAAAGAATTAAATGTGAGCAGATTGGCTATGTGGCAAGAAAGCTGAGCAAAAATAATATCTTACAAATGTTTGAAGATTGGAAAGATATGTCAGCAACACATGGAAAGAAACATTTTGAATGTTTGAGAAAACATGTCTTTTGCAGGAGAAGTTTCTTCAGGGATTACTCATTTCCTTCCTTAAACTTATGCCCTATGTTTTGTTTGTTTTGAACACGGATGACTGGAATGAACAAACCAAAGTACTGTTAAAATAATCTCAATATGTTGCAAAAAGATATTGCATCCTGATGTGTTAAGAAGCAAAGCTTGAGTCTGGCTTGAACCGCTTCATCTAAAGCTTGAAGTTAGGAACTGTAGGATAATGTTCCGGCTTCCGAGGGAAGTTTCAGGTATCATTTCAGATCAAGCGCTTTGTGGAAACTGGCCTACTATGATCTGAAGTGTGGTATCCCTTGCAGGATGTTTAAATACAGCTAATACACAGGGTAATGGAAAGGACAGTTCTGTACTGCCCAGCAGTAGCAGCTGAGACTACCTGTGAATCTTCACAGTAGCCACAACAACCTGCAGATCTCAGTTGGGCAAGGAGTGCATGAATTAATTGGACACAGATAACGTGAATGAATGGAAACAGACCTATTGGGCAGACAGTTTTCTGTTTGTACATTTTTATGGTGACACTGGGCAAAGAATGCTGGCCCTGTTTTGAATTCCTTCGGTGAGCTGCTTGACATTGCCTAGATATGCAAGAGGAACACAGAACAAGGAAATGCCTGGAATCACAGAGCCTTCTGACAAACTTCTTCCTCTTGGAGTGATGTATAGCCATTTTAGCTGATCATTGAGGAGCAGTGTACATAAATGTCAAGGATAAATTAGGACAAAACTTGGGCAGGTAAACTTTGGGAAAGAACAAAAGTGGCTATAGCCTTGCACAATAGTGATAGGAATGCATCGTGTTCTTTGTCTTTCTTCAGAAAGGTTAAGTAAATATGCACAAATATGTTTGTGATCTCTGCTCCAGGAGAGGAATAGCTGGATTGTGTCCTACACTAGGGTTAGAAGCTGGTCTCCCAGGATCCTACTCACACTTGGCTTTCAAGGAAGAAAACTTGTCAGGTGGCCCTAATAGATTTTATTGTGGATAAAAGTTATGTTCTTGAAGACTTTGCTTAATGCCTCTTTTTGACCTACTGGCCTTTCACCAAGATCTAAAACAAATAAATACTCCTACAGTAGTGGCTAGATCAAAGGACTTTTCTTAGTAGAGCTATTTTGCTTATCCATTAAACAAGGCATAATGTCTGTCAGGGAACGGGGAAAAAAATGTTCATTGGGTTGCTGTATCCTACACTGCTACTACCATCATCCAAACAAGTTAAGGCCACATGTTGGATGCCCCTGGTTCATTCTTTAGGTCAGTTTTGATGCATTTTAGCACATCAGCCAATAGGAGAATTCCAGAAGCGTGGTAGATGAAGATTCTGAAGATGGAGGAGTCTGGAAGCTTGTAACTTTTGATAACGCCCCAAAAGCTCTTCTCCATCTGTTGTTCAGCAATAGCAGAACACTGGGTACAGGTGAGGAAAATGACCTCCTATCAGTGGCAGTATTGGGGCCAGCTGAGCATTCACCCACCAACTGTCTGCACAAAAAAGTGGAGGGTCATAGTTACCAGAGACTGTCCCCCAGGTAGGACAGAGGCACACATTTGCTAATCTGAATTGATGTCTTGGGAGATGTGGAGAGCCTGCCAAAGCTTGTCTGGCCTTGTGTTACCCCATGCTGAATCAGAGAGGAACGAGAAGGGCTGAAAACAAAAGGAAACGTAAAGAAAACATGGCCCCACTGCTCAGTGGGACAGAAGATCAAATGACAAAGGATATGGAAAAGAATGACACATTGAGTGTCTCATTACCAACCTTACATTACATTGTTTCTTACTGGTAAGGTCTGCTGTTTGGCCTCCAAATTCTCAGAGCCTTCTAGAAGAGTCAGTGGGGAACATAACATTACCCACAGTAGCAAAAGAGACAGCTAGGGAGTACTTAAGAAGATTGGGCATATACAAGTCCATGACATCGTAGGATGGGATGCATCCTTGCACGCAGATAGAGTTAACCAATGTCATTGCAAGGCCATGCTCTGTCATCTTTGAAAGATCATGGTGATCAGGGGAGGATCCTGGTGACTGCAAAAAGGCAAACATTGCACCCATCTTCAAGAAGATAAAAAAGCAGGATGTAGAGAACTAGAGACTAATTAGCCTCACCTCAGTCCCTGGAGAGCCTATGGAGCAAATCTTACTCAAAGCCATTTCCAGGGACATGAAGGATATGATGACTTGGAACAGCCAGCACAGAGGAGAGATCGTGCCTGATCATTCCTGTTGTCCTCTGCAATGAGAGGACTGGCTGTGGGGATAAAGGGCAGAGCAGTGGATGTTGTGCGCCTTTAGCAAGGCCTTTGACATAGACGCTTCTGGTATCCTGATAGCCTACCTGTGGAGGGATATGGGCTGGAGAAGTGGAGAAAAAAGTGGGTGGAAAATTCCCTGGGCCTTTGGGCTCAAAGGAGGATAGTAACACAAATTCCAACTAGTGCCCCTGAGGGATTGGTGCTGGGGTCAGTACTGTTTAATGTCCTTATTAACAGCTTGGATGGTGGGATTGAATTTGCTCTAAGCAAGTTTGCAGACAGTACCAATCAGAGTGGTTGATATCTTGGCAGGCAGGGCTGCTATTCAGAGAGAGCTAGACAGGTTGCAGAAATGTGTTGCCAGAAATCTCATTAAGTTCAATAAAGGCAAATGCAAAGTCCATCGTATTATACGATAACCACATCCAGCATCCAGGCTGGGGACTGGCTGACTGGGTAGAAAGCTAGTTTGCAGAAAAGGACCTGGGGGTGCTGGTAGGCAGCCAATCATGTATTGAGCTGTAATAGCAAGGGTGTAGTCAGCAGGTCAAGAAAAGTGGTTATTCCCCTCTATCTGGCACATAAGGTACTGCAACTGCAGGACTGTGTCCCTCTTTGACTCCCCAAAATACTGGAGTACTGCAGCAGGGTACTGAGAAGGTTTGGAGAGGATAAGGGAGCTTGGCATCAGCTGGAAAAAGAGGCACTGAAGGGGAGATTCTATTGCTTTCTACAGCTATTTAGTGGTAGGATGTAGATAAGATGGGGCCAACTCTTCTCAGTGGATCTACACAGGAATGACAAGAGGCAACAGGCCAGGAACCTGGGAAATTCTGACTTGTGGTAAAAAGTACTTTTTCTACTATCAAGAGCAGTGAAACACCAGAAAAAGGACACTGAAAGACAGTGGAATCTCCATCATTTGAGATGGTGTGAACTCAGCTGGACAAACCTTTGACCAGCCTGCTCAACCTGTCCCTGCTTTGGGCAGGAGCTTGGACAGGATGATCTCTGGAAGCCCCTTTCCACCTACATGATTTTCCAATTCTGTGATTCTGTTTTGCTAATGATGTTTTACTGACTCCTGACTGCTACATCTATAAATTAATAAGCAATAGTAAAACATTCCAACCCTTGGAAAAGTAGTGACATGGGGACCTTAAGTTCTTTAAAACGAAAAAAAGTAAGAAAATGAGCTTTCAATGAAAAAGTAGGGGGGAGGGCTTATCTTGAAAGCCAGAAGGTCTATTAATACACTTTCAGTTATGAAAAAGCCAATTACTTGGATTTTCAAATTTCTTTTGAAGAGCAGCTGCATAGTTATATTACAGGAATTAATTTAATTCAGTGTTGCTTTGGCCTTTCCTTGATTCAGCAACATGATGCTTTGAAAGGCTCCAAGATGAATAGTGGAAGTAGCAATGCAAAGACGCAATCGCTAGGTCAGATCAAGGGAGGTATTTGCAAAGCTTAGATTTGAGGTGCCACATGAATGCTGACATTCATGCATGTTTGGATTTATACAGTGTTGACAGGGTACTTGGAAGATTAATGTGCTCACGTTGCTAATTTTAGTCTTATAAGGCCTTCTATAAATTTGTGTTGAGTTGGGGTTTTTTTGGATTGTACTCATTACCATAACATGTTGCTTGGGTCTTGTATTCAGAGTTCCATCCTATTTAAAACACTAAGTCATGTGAGAGTATTTCAGCTTTGAAGCAAGCAAGTCTCTGATCTCTTAATGGCTGTGGGTTTTTGGGAGGAGGGAAGTTCTGCATAAGGTAAAAATAAATTTTTTTGATGGGTGAAAATCTTTGCCATCTCTTATTTTACTATTTGTCATCAGTGAGCCTGGATGTTTCCCTTCAGGTTCTTAAACAATCCTCTCCTGGTTTTGTTTTCACATATAATGCAGAGAGAGAGAAAAAGGGTTGTTTTGTTTGGTATTTGTTTGTTATTTGGTTTTGGGGTTTTTTGTTGTTGTTGTTGTGTTTGTTTTTTTTAAATTTGTGCTGTGAATTACTGTTCTGTTTACTGTGTTTCTTCACCAGTGTATTGAGACGTACTGTTACCCTTCTTACTCAGTTGGCAAAAGGGATGACATCTCATGCAGCTCTGGAAACGCAAGTAAATGATGCTACTGAAGCAGCCAGAAAATACATGGCCGAGAATGAAAGGCTGCAGGAGGTATCTTTGAACCTTCTTAGTTATTTTCTTATACAGCAAGTAATTAGTACAAAATACTCTGGGGATGATTTGCTACTGAATAATGTTAATCCATTTTTTTTTCTTCTGGTGGAAAAAGGAAGAACAATGTTCTTATGATATGTAATTCAGAATACTGAATACAAATTTCAGTAGCACTTTATTAATAAAGGAAACTAAAGTAATCAAAATAAATGAAGTTCTGTCTTTTCAGTACAAATTTCATCACAGTAGTAATATATTCTTAAAATATCTCTTTGAATTTAATCATAGCAGAGTAGAGGGAGACACTAATTTTGTTCTTTTTATCCTGAACAGTTGGCTGTTTAAGTCAGGGCTATAGCAATTCAGTATGGAAGAGCTTACAATATAGTTGTTCTTGTGCTGGCTGTTTCTTCTAAATAGGATTTGCTCCAGTCCTGAAATGTCTTTTCTAACTTGTAAAATTGGTCTTTTGTATTTACTGTATTTTGTATTCTTGCATCAGCCGATATCCTAATACCTTCCTTTCTCAGTAAGGCACTGCCATAGTATTAATGAGGATATTGCCAAAAATTTCTTACTTAAAAGAACCACCAATGAACCAAAGATATGTTATTTTTATGAGAAGAATGGAGAAAATTAAGCTATCATTTGGCTGTTGTGGTTCAATATACAGTTGTATGCAGGAAGGGATACACTATCAGCAAACGTAATAAAGGTAAACGTGTGAAGTATTTTCTCGTAATTGGTTAGTTTGACTTCTGTTGGAAGTCATATATACATTGGACTGAACCGTTGGAAGAGATTGAACCATAAGCTAGAGTGCAGGCATCCAGGGTATGAACGCTTTTACAGCATTCTTCAGTCTGGCACGTTGTCAAAACAAAATTCACTGCAGGTGTGTACAGGTTTCCTTCCAGTTTGTCTGGAGAGGTGTCTATGGTTACCAGCACTGTAATTTTTTTTCTGCAATAAATCTTCAGACAAAGAGAACAGACTCTGGACAAAAAGTACTAGCAGGGATGCAAAAAAATCCAGTTGTTTGAGAGGTGTTGTAAAACAAGGATCACTAGAGTGTGTGTTAGGTATTTCTCAAGTATGAAATGATTCCAAAATTTTCAGGTTTGGTATTTTGTCAAAATGATCCAGAGGGAGGGATACCTCCACAGTGGAATTTGTCTCATTACTGCTTACTGGTACATTTTTTAATTATTTTTTTTTTCTCTGTCCTGTTGGGATTTGGCCAAAAGTCCTCTTTTTGTTCTGCTTTCACATTCTCTTAGCAACACATTCTTTTAGCTGCTTGTAAGTGATAGCCAGAAACTGGAAACTGTATTCCTGTCTGTTTCTATTTGTGTGTTTGATTGCATAGTTTGCAAAAACAGTGGTAGCCACAAGTACAGCCAGCATGCTGTGGTTGGATCTCCATTGTGCTGGAGATGCAAAGTGTTCAGAATTCGTTTAACTTTTATAGGGGTACAATGACTTAGGTTCCTCTGTGACTTGGCCCTTGCGTTTGTATTCATTTACAAGCGTGCTTCATTGTGTCATATGAAAGAGGCAAGAGCAATTGCATATAGGGCACTGGCTGTAAGTATAAATGCTCTAAGTTTACTCTAGCGTGCTAGGTCTGCACTGTCTCCTGTTCAGAGGTTCCATGGAGCACAGGACTTAAGATAAAAGTTTACAGAAATAGCTACTTGTGAGGGGAGCTCAAAGTAAAGGAGGCAATCTGTGACCAATTTAATGACAAATTGGCTATGGTTTAGTTACCAGCAGTCAAATGCAATCTCTGCTCTTTGGTTAAATTGCTTCTGGAAATTTTTCTTCAGCTCTTTTCTTTGGACTGTTTACCAGTCTTTATAACCAATTCTTTTCGTTCTTTCTAAAGTAATTTTTCCCCTCTACTCTGGCCTGTGCCCATTAAGCTCCGATATCACCAGTTCACCTATCACCTGTTCATCTCAGTTGTTCTATTTTTCTTTTTCCCATTAAGCATTTATGACTTCTTTTGCCATTGTTGTAATAGAGATGATGCTTGGCTTGATATAGAGGCTATATGAGCAAAGGGTCTAATTAAGGGGTCTAATCCTTAACATATGATACTTTAAGTCATCACTAGCAATTGCCTTAATGATAAGAGTGTGCATTAGTAGTGCCAATATTTTCAGAGTTCAGGGAGTACAGTGCTCTTGTGTCTAGTACTTACAGGACTCTTCCTGAATCCTTTCCTATTTTTTTCTTGAATTTCAATGGAAATCTAATCTGGGTATTGATGTATTCTGAAGATTGAAGAAGTAGCTGCAAACCTACAGGGAGAGATTTGTGATGTATCACACGATTTAAATCGGAATAAATTATTAGAGCAAGTTGTGCGTCCTCTCTTCCTCTCTCTCTTTCTCTCTCTCCTCTCTCTCTTTCTCTCTCTCCTCTCTCTCTTTCTCTCTCTCCTCTCTCTCTTTCTCTCTCTCCTCGCTCTCTTTCTCTCTCTCCTCTCTTTCTCTCTCTCCTCTTGGATGAGAATCTGCCTGTGTTGTGTTGGCACTTGATAAAACCTGTCAGTTTGCAAGGATGCAATTCACTGGTTGTTTGTCATTAATGTCAGACTAATGAAAACAAAATTAATTGTAGCAACTGTGGTTTTTAATAGGCCTTGAGTGAAAAAGAAGGCAGTAAAAAGAAAGAGTCAGCAGAAGCAACAGATGAAAAGTTAAAGAAAGAAATTGAACATTTGAAAGCAGAGCTACAGAAGACATCAGATGGTAAGTATTGGTTAGGACTTCTTTGCAATTAAGAAAAAGATTATTTCAACACTGGATGTCAAAAATCTATTCTAGGTACAGCATTAACTACATTGGTTTATGGGACACTTGGCTTGGGGTTTCTTTGCATTTGACTAGGAACTGGAAAAATGTGCCATTGCCACCCCCATATTTTAGTAAATGTTTTCATTATGAAAATATGCCCGGTGTAATTTGAACACCTTAGTTAAATTGTAATTATTAATAAATTGAACTGATATCTTGAAGTGGGGTTGACTTCTCTTCATCAGTGACATGACCAGGATATGGAATCAATTGCAGGTTGCTTATAGGCATTAGATTGATCTTTCATGTCATACACATTGGCCAATCTTCCTGTATAAAATGGGGAAGTATGTGGTTGAGGTTTTTTTTTCTATAAAAGTAGGGGTTTGGTCACGTAGCAGGCAAGTCCTTGACTAGTATTCTAAATTTACATATCTCCTGAAGCAGAGGCGTTGGCTTTTTTTTTTAATTTTTTTGTCTACAAGGAAACATGCCTTGCAATTTGTAACATAATACTTTTGTTAGCAGCTTCCGTGTTTAAGGTTTAGGCTGTCAAAACTGCTTTCTTGGCAACCCAAATTGAGATAGAAGCAGATTTTACCTGTTTGGTTCTGTCTTACTGGGATCTGTCAACGTGTGTGATGTTTACAAACACCTGCTCATCTGAAATTAGTGTTTTTAAGATAACACTGCCTTTGACCTTGTAAGCATTAATCAGATGTTCAGACTGTAACAAAGTACAGATTTTCGTGGTACCAGATAGCACGTTGTCATCAAAACATAGCCCTGCTTTCATATTGCATGGCACTGCTACAAAGCTGTGTAAATAACAACAAATATTTCATTACTCATTTTTCATTGTCCACTGGGAAGATGAACAAGAACTGTAGAACAGCTGTTTTCAGCTGGGCTTGAAGCAATAAGAATCTCTAAATAGACTGTCTCATTAGTTCACATTCTCAGGCAGGTTTGGTTGTGAGTTTTCCCTCTCCTGCTGTTTTCTTAAAGAAACTGTTTTCTTAAACTGCCTTTGAAGTGACAGGATCAATGAACGCATATGTTTTATTTAAACTAACTGGTGGTATGTAACACTAATATAGCGTAAGCTTTTCAGTGAGGAATGCTAGAGAAAGCTAAGGAATAAATAGATTTACCACATGCTGCTTCAGCTGCATTCTCTCTGTGGGCTGTTGTCCATCCAAAAGACGTTTAAATTAAGGCATGCTGGAGTCTTTTGTTATGGGGAAAGTGGGGGGGAGGATCTTTTTAAGAAACGAATGGGAAAATATTTACAGCCCTTCCCCTGATACCATCCCCCTCATTGCCAAAACAGAAAACCCTATGGTTACATTAATTACCATCATCAACTAGATGGTGTTAAGGTATGCCTATCTTATTTTTTTATAAGTTTTCTTGTACGTGATTTTGAGCAAACTGATAGCCAGAAAGCTTAAAATATTTGATAATAGCCACATCTGTAGACACAGATTTCTGTGGAGTCTCTAGATTTAACGTGAATCCATTTTACTGTTTTCTTTTGAAATTTTTGCAACTGAGCAGGTGAATGTTGAGTTTCATGCTCGCTAAGTGTGACCAATGCATTACACAGTATCACAGTTGAGATAGAAAAGCTTGTTTTACCTCTTTTTAACAATTTGTTTCATGCCACTGCGCTCACATGACTAAAGTAACCTTTCCTTTGTGTCCACAAATTCCAATCCATGAAATTTTGGGTGTATTTTGTTGCGGGGGGAAGGGAGTGAAGAGTGTGGGGAGCTGTCACTTAATAATGAAAGAAGGCAAAACAGGTATAAAAAGGTAAACTTTACTGGTTTGGGTTTTTGAGGTTTTCTGTTTGTTTGTTTGTTTTTCAGCTGTAGTATCAGTAAAAGTAATAAATTTGGTAGTGTATATAGTGTATATTTAGTAGTGTATATAGTGTAGACAGTGATTATGGCAGACTTTCAGCAGACATCTCTAATTCTTTAGCTTTCTACCTTTCATAGGAAACACAGTCTACTTTTTGGGGGTTTTTTTGTCCACTTAACTGTAAGTGAAATCCTATTGCCACCTATTGTGCTCAAGGCAAGTGGGGAAGAAGAATGAAAATAAAAGATAAAGAGTCTGAGTAGTGAAATTACTACAATCTGAGGAAAGGTTGGAAATTAGTGACAAAGATTTCAGCTGAATTGCTTTTCTTCTCAGACTTAACTTTCCTATCCCCCTCGATGCCCTTTTTTGCTTTATTGTGGGAGTGAAGGAAAGGGGGCTAGCTCTTCACTACTTTTATTACAGACGTGCATACTGGGGGTTTTATAGGCACCCAGCAGTGGGGCTAGCACTTTCAGAGCCTAAATCCATTTTTAGCATACCTGGACATGTAATAGCATGAGTGTTTAGAAACCTTCCTGGATGGTATTTTATTAATACACTTGTATATTATGAAAAATATCTCACTGATATCTTGAAATAAATATATATACTCCTAGGAGCACCCAGTGCGGATGTGAGAATGTTTCTCCTGCTACACATTAGACGTATTTTGAACAAAATGTTGATTCAGATACTTAAGGCTCTCAGTGTGGCTGCTCATCTCAGACCTATAGGAATTTTCTGGGGAAAGAAGAGATGCTATGATACTGTTTCATTTTGATAGTTTTGAACATTATCCAAAAAGCTACAACAAAACAAACTATCTGCAACTGGACATGAGGTCGGAGTCTGAGAGAAGTTTCATAAAGCAGCTCTCCTTACAGCAGTCCTTGGGTTGGGGGCAGGAATGGGACTTGATGCATTAACTTTCTTTTCTCGCTCACAGATCCCACACTGTGGAAATGCTGATGTGTGAAATGTCCATTTGTTATTTTGGGACCCTTTGGGCAGGAGGGAGAGTTCTGCAATGCTGTACTATTTCGCCTTTTATCTCAGGTCCTTTTTTCGTAACACTGTCCTAGTGTATGGTAAAAGCTACAGCTTCATTTACACAACAGAAATTTATACACAACAACTAGTATTGATCCAGTCTTGCAGCAGAACACACTGGTGGCAGACTCCTGTCCAGCTTGTTGACCCCTCACTCTTCTAACAATATTACATGGCAAATGACATGCATTTAAAGAAAGCTTCTACCTGCGTCTGATGTAGCATAACAGGCATTGCAGTCCCTAGCACCTGTGTGCAGTTATTGAGCTGTGACCTCATTGCATCTTTGAGCTGAGTCTGTAGTGCTGCATTGAGACAAAATCCGAAGACTGTTTCTTTGTCTCTGCCATCAGGATTTCACTTTGTGAAGTGCATACTGACTCACCAAAATCATATAGGTGCTTTTGAACTTTTATTCAGCTTTTTCTAAAAATACTCTCTATTTGTATATTGTTGTCATAGGCATATGGTGGGGCAGGAGGAAATTCTGATGAAATTTCCATGCATCCTTTAATGAGGTTTGTTTTGTGTACAGAATGTGTCACAAGAGTGCTTTGTTTCATGGTTGCATAGTGCTGGAGGAGACAGGAGTACGAGAGCAAGAATTCATGTGGAGGGCTGGTTTTGAAACAGCTTTTAATTGTTGACTATTCTAGAAAGTATGCATGTACACATGTACAATGCTCACCTAAACGCTAAGATTATTAGGTGTTAGAAAAATATAAACAAGACAGATATTGGGAATACATTTCATAGAGCCGTAGCTGCCAGTGAGAGTTCAGCTCGGTCTTTGTGTTGCCAGGCAGGCTAGTACCATGTATGAAAACTATATTTGTGTTGAGCGCCACTGAAACACTCCAGTTTAAAAAAAACAAACAAATAAACAAAAAAAAAGCCCCCAGAATTACTTGACTGGAGTTGTGTTCCCAGCTTTGCAGCGTATTTGTTGGCAAATCTTGTGTCCCGTCAGTGCCCAAATTCTGTGAATAGCTCTTTCTCAACTTGAAGAGTCTTAAAAGAGAGGGATCTTTCGTAGTCTTAAACTAGTCCAAATCATTTGGGGGTTAGACTTGTATTGTGAGCAATGCTAATTTAAGTTCCAGATCGTTTCCTTAGTAGCAAGTCAAGTGATTTAGTCAGAGCAGGACTAGTAGTTGTGCAGGGAAATGCCCAAAGAATCATTGCTTGCTTTTGTTGCTGTTTGCTTTTGTTTTACTGTTCTGTTCCCCACCCTCGTTGAAATGAGAAGATCACAGAAATGCTACAGCTACTGGGCTGTGGTAACCTCTTCAGAGCAATTTTATGCCTCATCCTGCTTTAACTTTAGAGGAATCTGAAGTAAACTATCCTGGAACAGGATACAGAGAATGTGGTAACAGAAGAACAAGTCTCTACTTCACCCAGACTGCACGTTACATTAGTTCATGGACCTCCACTCACATTAAGTGTAAAGGGATAAAGTTTTCTATATTTGTCTTCTGTTGATATACTGCCTAAGAATATTGTTGATTTTTTCTTTGAAGGGAAGGGGAAGGAATGAAAAAGAATGGCCCACCTCTCACAGTACTGAGGCTGGATTCCAGTTTTGGGACTTACTGACTATTTCTCTCATTAGTTGCATTAACATAGAAGCAGCATTCTCACCTCCTCCCTGCTCATGCATTTACTTGGTAGGAACGATCAGCTATTGGGTTTTGCTTGCTGCCAGTTCAGCTGTTCTGTCTCCCATGAGGCAAAGTAACAGGCCAGATGGAAGCCAGAAATAAAAACTGACTCTATTGTGCACATAAAGGATTTTCTGTTTTCTGCTGGATCAGTGTTCATATAATACGATCCATATGACAAACAATATACCTGTACGATCGACTTGGCTGCACTGCAGTGTTCATGCAGTGGCAGAGTAGTTAAGCAGTGATGTACAGACAATCTCCGTTGCTTGACAAGAAGACATCCAGAGAAACTGGCATGCTGAGTAATTCATGTTGTCAAAGATGTGATGCTTCTTTTTGTTGTGTGGCCCCAACAGGAATGAGTCTGGGTTTGGTTGGGGTTTTTTTCGTCCATAGCCAACACAGGTGGAAAGGACAATCTGTTCTTTGCTTTTTCTTATTCTAGGGTTAAGCGAGGTATTCCTGTCATACATCTGTTTTGGTCAAAACATTGAAACAATGCAGCGGTTTGTTTGCTTTCTTGGTTTGCAGATACTCTCAGATATTTTGTTCATGTTTTAAAGATGCGGCAGTTTTTAGTTGCAACTAAAATACCGTGCTGCTGCTTGTAAACAGATGAATAGTATTAGATCAATAACACTGAGTTACAAGTTCTTCAGAAATGTGATACTGTTATTTTTTACTATAAGTAATTGTACAAGAATGTTTAAACAATAGCAAAATTTTGCTTTCTAATTAGCAGATTCTTGAAAAGGCAAATGTCTACAACTTAGAATTCAGGAGCTTATCAAATTGTCACAAGTTTATTTTAGTGTGATTGCCAAGTTTTATTGTTGAGTATTTTAAACAGTAGCAAGATCAGAAACAGTAGCAAGATCAATCAGAAAGACTGCAGAAAATGCAATGGGATTTGGCTTGTCAGATGTGTGGAAATCATGGTTATTCCAACTATCAAAACCTTTAGAAAGTGTTTACTGTATTGGTGCTGTCAAGAATGCATTAAAGGATGAAGGATATCTGTGTAAGAGTATGGAAATGAAAGAAAGGATGTAAAGAGATGGGATGAATTTTTGACCATACTGGAATCAACAGACATAATTAACTTCAGTAGACCAGAATTTCAGGCTAGGTAAAAGTCCTATTACTGGGAAAACCACTTGCAGACTTTTAAAATGAGAATGATTTTCAATCTCTACACTCAAATTAATTTATAAAAATAGCAGAAATGCTGGGGGAGGGAGCCTTCCTTTTTGCATTTAGGAGAGTGGTCAAATCTCTCATGTCCTGATGTTTCAGGAACTAGCTCCCAAAGTGAAACATGTTTCAGACCAGAGTGCTTGTAGCTAGGTGCTTTACAAAAAAAATACATCTAGCTCCTCGTTTCTTTTACAGAAGTGCTGCAATGCTTGAGTGTCTTGGCGGTCTTTGAGAAAGAACTGTCTGCCTCAGGGAGCTCACAGTCAAAGGATAGATCCACACTTTTGGAACGAGGAAAATTGAAAATGTTTCTGGTTTTATTTGTACCATCAAGATTATTTTTTTTTAAATATGGCTATGTGAGGCAGCCTTATAGGTCATTAATAACATTTCTCTGTTTTAGCATGATTAAGTCAAATTTTAGGGTATGCCTGTGCTGCTACAGCAGAGAAATATAAAGATACTGAGATACCTATGGCAGAGGAATATAAAAATGTCTAAATGACCTTACTTGAATGCTAACATAACAGCTTAGGATTAATGGCTTTATGAAACTTTATGCTGATTTGCTCTGCGTTGTAAATTAGCCCCTATGGAGCTCTGAGCTGTTTTGTACTGCAGCATAGACATGCTCTCAGTTTATTGCTGTTGAGATTGTGAGTAGAGTAATAATTACATTTTCTAATGTTAAAAACCTGTTCACAGTTGTACCACCATCACTTCTGCCTTCTCATCCTTAAAGTGATGCTTCTAATGAATTAACTCATGCATGGTAAAATATATAACAGGCTGAAAAGTGTGTGTGGGGGGGGGGTGTCTTTGCTCCTGTAATAATGTGTTATCTCTCTGTTTTCCCCCCCCCCACATTTTATAGATGGCCTCAGTTGCTTTGCTAAAATCTTGCCCAGTGTTTGAGTTCCCTCTTTGTTTTAAGGGGGATGACAGTTTTGGGTTTGGGGTTGTAAAGTTTTGGTTTTTTAGAACTGTCTTCTGCGATGTGACAGAACAAAGTAGCCATCACTAACTTGTCACTTCTGTCAACAATTTATTGGTCTTGCCCTTACCTTTCATACAGCCCCTTCCTGTTCCTTGTGCTGCTGTTCCTGAACACAAATCATTCCTTTTCTCCTCCCTGTCCTGCACATCTCTTCCTGTGTCCATCTGTAATGCTCTGTTTTAAATTTAAGCTTTTTTAGAGCACGGACTGTGTAGTGCAGTGGAACCCTAATATCTACCTAGGGCCCTAAGGAACTGCAGGAATACAAGTAATGATTAAAACACTGATTCTGATATTTTACAGCTCTCAAGAAGGCAAATAATGAAGTGACTGCAGTTAAAAAGCAGTCTGAAGGCCTTAAAAGAGAATACGATCATCTGATGAAAGAATATGAATGGCTTCAGGTAGGTGGTTGTGGATTGCTATATGAGCATGATGTTCTGAAATTGTAGCAGCAAAATTCTTCTTGTTGGATATTTATTATGCAAGAGAATTTACCAAAATCTTTAATATAGCATAAAGTTACAATGGGCAGCACTCCTTAAACTTCATCAAAATAGTAAAATTTTGTTTTTTAAGGACTGGACAGCAAAGCTACTAGCATTTTCTTCTTTACACTTCAGGTAACAAAACTCAGGTCATCGTTAGACTCAATTTTGCTGTCACTTGGGAAATAAGATTCAGATAGTTTTGCATGTGGTGATCAAACTGAAATCTTGTAAGAAAATGATAGGAGTAGTGTGTGTGCTATATACAACATTTATAAGAGTAATTTTATTTTGTTTGCTCTTTAAACATGATTTTGCAATACTGGATTATAAATGTTGCAATATGGTTGATAAGCAAGAACACGCCAAAAAAAAAAAAACCCAAAACACAAACCAACAAAGAGCCTAGGCTAAAAACAGGCTACTCTAAAAATTCAAACTGAAGTACAAAATAAAATAAAATTTAAAAAAACATAGCAAGCAAAAGCTGAATTAGCAGTTTGATTGGGTTTGCATATGCACATGGCTATAATACCTAGTACAGGAATTATTTCTGGTAGAACTGGGAGCCCTGCTTGTTCTTTAAGTTGTCTGACAGGTGTTTGTATGTTCCGTGCCTAACGCCTGCCTCAGAATTCAACCAAAATTCAATAAAAATGAAAGTTAGCTTGTTTACAAGTAATGGTCTTGGGAGAAAATAAATCATGGAATCATAGACTTCTCTAGGTTGGAAGGGACCTTTAAGATCATCAAGTCCAACCATCAGCCTAACACTGCCAAAACCACCTCTAAACCATGTCCCTAAGCACCACGTCTACCCGTCTTTTAAATACCTCCAGGGTATTTAAAAGGCAATTCCACCACTTCCCTGGGCAGCCTGTTCCAATGCTTGACAACCCTTTCTGTGAAGAACTTTTTCCTGATATCCATTTTAAGTGTACCCTGGCGCAACTTGAGGGCATTTCCTTTTGTAATTGATGTTAAAGTTATAGTGATCTGCTTTTCAAGAAGAGCTGGCTGTTGGTCCTGTGTTAATAAAATTTTAAAAAAGGCAAATTTGAGCTGGTTATAATCTTCTTCCTGCAGTCCGTGAAACTGCTTACTGATTCACAGCCTCACCCTATACTCTTCTAGTGATTGCGCAACTGATCTCTGAATTAAGACCACCATGCATGTCCTATCTTTGTTGTGCTTCCCTGTGTAATGAGCCGTAGTAGTCCTGCTGCATTTCTAACAGTCTTGTGGTCTAGAACACACATCCCTACAGTTTTCTGTGTTTACCTCTGAATGGAAAGAACAGAAGGTACTGAGCACACAGTAGATGCTGCTCCTAAGGATAAATCAATGGATAGCAGAAAACATTTTCTGTGGAGTTTGCTGCACAGTTCAGCTGTAACGTGAACAGGGAGCAGAAGTAGGCTGCCTGGCTCTAACTGTACTAGGATCAGAAGCGCATGTGTTATGTGGGGGGTAGTATTGATGGAACTACAACTTTGAAGGGTGTATAGTGAACAAACCAGGTGTGACTGCAAGGGGGCAAAATGTGCCATCTGGAGTCAACAGTTTCTGATCTCACCAAACATAAAAAATTATTTTCATTCTGTCTCTTTTCAGGCCAGTTTAAATGAAGCAGAAGACAAGAAAGACCTGTAGATGCATCTAAGATGGATGGCATCGGTACAGTTGCTTCAATGTGAAAAGCCTTATGCTGTTCAGGCTCCTGATGCATATCTGAAACAAAACTTGATTTTTCCGAAAAGCACATGCACTGCGGGTCACTATTCAGATTCCTTTAGTATATCTTGGTTGCCAAAATATTCTGTGTCGCAAATGAAATGTTAAGTGGCTTACTTGATTTACCATGGAGTTTGTCACTGCTCTTGTCAGGAGAAACTTGAAAATCTTTCAATTCCATCTGGAGCAACTTGACCGTTCTCCGAGCTTTTGCTTTCCAGAACGGTAACAGATCATGCACCATTTGCTTGTAGCATTTGAGCAAGGTTGTGTATCATGCTATATCATAAAAACAGTTACCTAAACCTCCTGAGTAACACCTGTTTGGAGTCTTCAAAAATTCGGTTACCAGTGGGTTGAAGAAGGCTGGAAGCTTTTCATCAGCTGTTCCACTTCAGTGGAAAATTGAATGACAATCAATCTAAGGAAAATAAAGAAGGAAAACTGCATTTCTAAATCCATCTTACTAGCTTGTGACCTTCACTTAGCCACATGGACGAGCATATTTTACCAAACAATATTTTGCATGCCTCTGGTTTATTTTTCTTTAATAGATTGGATTATTTCAGTTTTCATAACCAAAGTTTGGGGTTGGTTGGTACTAACATTCTGTATTTTTACAGTTTACATCTGTTTACTCTGTATGTGCCACCTAACTTCTTTTGCCTTGCTAAGTAAAAATTCTTTTTAAATGTAGATAGTTGGGTTTGTTTTGTTTTGTTTTCATGGATACGATACCTCAAATAAATGTGCACTGTTTTGCATAAGCCCTTTTTGGCATTCAGAAAGTTGTTTTGAGTTTCTTTTTTGTTAGTTGATGCCAGTTTATATTTGAAAGTTGGGTATGTTTGTTATATTAAAGGGATTGTTGAAGTTCACGAGTTTCTGGGTTTATTCGTGTAAATCTCTCCCAATATACTATCTCATCAGAGTTAATAGGTATATACACAAAGAACAAAATACACTTCTAACTCGGTGATATTTAACTTTTCCTGAAAATACAGCCTTCTTCATAGTAGTAGTTTTCATTGCTCTGGAAATAGGATTTGTTTAGCTTAGAATTTAAACATAGCATATTAAATCCTATAAAGCATATTGACATAGCATATTAAGTAAGAATGCATATGTTTTTTTCAAAAAATACTTCATCCTTGCTGAAGTAGTACAGAATGTGTTCTCAGAGGTACTATAACACTGGAGATTTGTTTGTTCATATCGAAACTTCCAGGAAAAGTTAGATTTTAATACCCACATACACACAGGTTTTGGTGATGTAGTTGAATGCATTATTATTTTTTTTCCTCCCTGCCCCCCATCTGAAATATTTAAAATTATGGTGGACTGTTATCTCCAGTCTGATCGAAAGACTATGGTTGGAAGCCTTAGAGGTATAACAGTTAAGCGCCATTTTTAATAACAGAATTAAAAACTCACCTGTTTTTCTTACTTTAAGACCCAGAACAAAAGCAAATATTACTTACGATTTACTGTTGTTACCTACTCACTAAATGTCAAGCATTTCTTCCTACAGTGCAAGCAGATAATTAGCAAGTTACAATGAAAGATGTCATGCACTGAATCCTTCATCCCTAAAAATTTATCTTAGAAAAAATAACATGGAACAAAAAGTGGGTAGTGGTGAATGCACTGATAGTATCAGTACTTCCCCTTGAGAAGGAGGTCCGGATGCTTTACAGTAATTTTTGCTGTAGAGCATGAATGAAGTGTGAAGGAGTGCATAGTGCTATGTACTGCTCCCCCAGAAGCTGAAAGGATGCCTGGTATTTTTAAATGTGCAACATTCAACATGTGGTACTCGCTCACTGCCCTCTAACTGCATCAGTCACCTCAGCCTAGCAGTGCCCTGCTGGCTGCTCGGAAGATGGGGATCCACTTTTTGAGAGATTGAGGAGGCAACAGCTTAAAACAAAAAACCCTGCATACCAGGCCACAGAGAATGTTTCCTTAATTAAAAATTAGGGATTGCTTAAAACCCACAGACTCTTACTTTGCCTCCAGTCATTTCTTCTGTCATGTCCATTATTTGTATCACTTACCAGATTTCCCTGTCACGGAGTAGAATATGACCATCACCATTTTTCTGCTTGTCTGTTGTGGATGGTCACACACGTTTGACTGAGTTGTGTTACCACATGCTGAGCTCTGGAGTGCCAGATTTGTTCTCATAAAAATAATCCTTTGTTACTCAGATTGAAAATATTTTGTAGTATCTGCTTTGTAGAACTTTATTCTCAGAAAGAACATGTTTCTTTTGCAGAATTAGAAGTCTAAATAGTATATCTGGAAATTCCAGTAGATTGCAAGTCTTTCAGAAAGTTTTGCATTTGCATTGTTTCACAACACTTGATACTTATTCAGAGCCTGCAGGAGTCTGGGTTGATCAACTTTAAGTACGTTTTTTTTGTCGGTGATGTTTTAAGTTATGGTTGATATAC